CCCTGAGAGTGGGCCCTGGGAAGAGGTAAGGAGAGAGGGGCGAGGCAAAGATGAGGCACCGTAGAGACCCTGAAGCCCAGGGGCATCTTCACACCTCAAGCAGTGAAGTACGGGGCCTTTGCAGATGGGTACAACTTCTCCTTTATTTTGAGTAACTGATCTTAAGAATTTGCAGATAGTTTTCTCCACAGTTCAGTATTCTGGGGAAAACAGAGCTGACACAGTTCAAAAGGCTTTTGAACTTCAGGTAGCTGCATAATGCAGTTATTGGCGTGTGCACCCCAACATGCCAGGAATTATCTGGGAGTGGCATCGGCTGACTAGACTTCACAGAAAATGGCCAAAGGTGGTCTGGTGTGAAGTTCAAGCTTGCTTCAGCTGGGAAGTGAATTGTCAATGGAATGGAATTAAGGAAAGGGAAGGGGGAGGGGACGACAGCCTGAACCACTCATTCTGAGTATCTATACTATAAAAGAATTTACTACTCAGGGAGTCCTTGAGGTGAAACATAGCTCTGTGTGACTGTGTCTCATCTACTTCTACCCCTAAGAGTGGTACTATCCCCATTTTAGAGATAAGGAAACTGAAGCTCAGTGAGGTTAAATAACTTTTCTAAAGTGACACAGAACGGACTAGAGACAACTGGGATTTGAATCCTGCTCTGAAATCAAAGCCCATGCCTTTTTCATTCTGATATACTAATCTTGCCACCCCCTCTCCTAGTCTGGGAAAATCATGGCTAGGCCTCCAGAAAGGGTGGAAGCAGAGATGGAGATGCTCGGAGTCCCTGAAGAGATGAACAGTTAGACCAGCTGGAGGAAGGAGAAGCTGGGGTGACAGTGAGGGGCCTGGGGAGCTGGTGCTGGCTGTCCAGGCCTCCACCCCCTTGCTGGCCAGGCTTCGGGCAACTGGGAGTGTGGAAGACCAGAGACTGAGGTGGCAGGGGGCAGGTAACCAAAGGCAGGATTTGAAGGGAGAGGGGAGGACAGCTAAGACAAATAGAGGGAGGGTCGGTGGAAAGAAACTGAAGTTACAGCAAAGAGCTTATACTTGCAAACATTCATCTGGCAGGGAATATTGGCTATACACTTATTCCAAATATGCTATTATTATTTAAAACACATTTCCAGAACACCTACCTCTTTGGAACATGCCTTCAGTTGTCCGTAATTTGTCCTTTCTTCCTTCCTTCTCTCATTGATTCATGCAAGCAGTGAATCAACACTGACTGAATATCCGACTGCCAGAAGTCTATTGAAAGGGTACATTAGTGGTAGCTAATCATTTTTGTTTGGGGATGGATTCCATTTTGGGAAATAGCCAAATGGCATTCTCAACCAAGTCTGATGCTGTGGCCTTGGATAGGGCTGGGCCCCTAATCTCACTGCCCACATGTCCCTTATCCACCTTACCAGGTGGGCAAGCAGGATAGGAAGCATTCATTTGGGTTCATCCTGGTGTAATTCAGACACTGGCCCTGAAGTCTCTGTGCCATGAGGAACTGCAGACTTGCCCAGCCGAGGGACAGCAGCCCTGGGAGATGGAGGACTTGGCAGCACTCAGGTGGGGGAAAAGCTCTGGTATGCTTGTGTCTCACCCTACTGGTGCTTTGTGAGGGAAAGGATGGGGTCCTGCTCAAAACAGGAAAAAGTTGGGTCTTGAGAAGAACCCAGAAGGAGATGAGAGATATTAAATGAAAGTTCTCAATAAACACTCTTTTCATATTAGCATCAAAGAGTAAGGAAAGGAGAAGGGAGAAAAGAAAAGAGAAACGGGAGAGAAGCTATGACACAAAAGGGTAGATGAGGAGCTAAAAGAACTTTGGAGTTGCTGCTGGGGACAGGTCCCGTTGCCCTGTGGAGGGGCTGGAGAGAGGCCGGGGGCTCAGGGCTGTGGCCTGGGGCCACAATGGCCAAGTTCCCCCCAGGCTGCCACAGCAAGGGTACAGCTGCCCAACAGGCCAGAGCCAGCCATTAGACATCAATGTAGCATGGAAAACGCTGAGAGGAAACTGAGGCACCTACCAATGAAATGACTTGATACTTGGGATCTGTGTCAAACTAATTCATGAGTTGATGTATGTTGAGTGAGGTAGTGGGTACGTGGGGGTTCATTATGAAACATCTCTACTTTTGGTTATTATGCTTGAAATAAAAAGTTTATCTAATAAACTTGTTAATAAAAAGTTTACAATAAACAAGAGGGCTTTTACAAACAGGGAGCTTTGAAGGAACCATGTAGAATATAAGCTGAAATTAATGAGAATTGTGTCTTGGGTTTTCTTAAATAACACTGCAAATCGGGAGTTCTTAACCAGAGAATGATGGATGAGCTGCAAGGATCCCTGAGCTCCCTGGAAGCGTGCGCTAAGTGATCTGAGAGTTTTCAGCAAGTTTTCAGAGAATCTATGACTCTCTCCCCAGAGGTTAATAAATTGTGTTCTCTTTTAACTGTGCCATGCATATATTTGTTACTTGGTGCATGGTTTTTAAATAGGGGGTTTATTTTCTAGAACTGGTATATTCACATCTGGCTGCTATGTTTTCATCTCTCCTCCATCATCCACACCCCTCTCTCTGGGGAAGCTCCCAGGGCCCCTGCAGCACTGAACCATGGCACTTTCAGTGGCAATGGAAGGGCTGTGTCCAGAGATAAGACTATACAGTAGGGAGGCGGACACAAAGAAGTAGGAGAGGACTGGGGAGGTCAGCTGGGGAGTCTTTCTGGTAGGCTCCCTGGATTCTGAGAGGGTAGCAGGAGGAGGTGGTTGTTGAGAAACCACTGTCTTGAACAGTCTGAGGCTCAAAACCATTAGACCTACCCTTCGCCCTCCCTGCCAAGAATTCCTTAGAAAACAACTTTCTGTTCCTCACAGCCTAGCTATAACACTCAGTCTGACAACCAGACCCTTGAAGCTAATTCCTCAAGCAGTCACCTGGGCTCGCAGCCTGCTAGGCAGAGAAGGGGATTACTTTTAGTGAGGATCTCTTCAGTCCCTGTCTTTTGGAACCATCTCCACATTTAAGTCAAGGCTGAAGGCCTGCCCTCATGTGCTGACACATGAAGGTCTTTTCTCTCCTGGCTGACATTTCGTGGCTAATATGTGAACTGTGGAATTGGCCCCCTGGTGCTGGGAATAGAGACAGGAGCAGAGGAGGGAACATAGGTTCCCAGTTCCCTGCCGCTGGGGCTCTGAACTCTGCTCTTTATCACCCCCCTTCAAAGAAGATGGGTAAGGACTGAAGCCATTCCCCTCTCCTGCAGGAGCGGGGCACAAAGACCCTTGTCTCCCAGGGCTCATCTTCTCTCCCAGGCTTCTGAAACCACACAGCTTCCCTGCCCCTCACCTGGCAGCCCTTATGTTCTCAGTCGTGGAGACAAATGGAGACCCTTGGAGGGAGTCTGCCCACTCCTAGACCAGGCTGCAGGGCTGAAGGCTGGGGACTGGGGGCACAGCGGATAAGGGGTGAGATAGGATTGAGAAGAAGGTCTGTCCCAGGACAGGGCCTGATGAAGGCATGTGGCTGGTGGAGCTGGGCTCTGACCTCAGGAGACCTGCCCCTCCTCTCCACCAAGTCCTGGTTCATGTCCCTCCTCCTTCAAAACCCCCTCTCCCCAGCACAGGGCAGTTAGGGTTTGGAATCTCTCTACCTCGTGAGGGTGGGTGTGGGATGGGCAGCACTCTAGGAAGCTCCCCAGGACAGCAGGGCCCTGTCTCCTCCTACAACCCCTCCCCACCAGACCCTGCCTCACCCATGTGCTCTGTCAAAGCAGTGGAAGGGGCACCAAGAACAAAATGCTTGGAGGCAGATATGGGGTTGTGTCCTTGTCCTCTGTCCTTTATTGTGGTCCTGTCCCTCCACTATCTCCTTTCCCAAGGGGTCACATCGCTTCGTCCCCACCCCAACTCTTGGTCTGCCTTCAGGTCAGGTGGCCTCAGTTTCCTCCTGTCAGGGAGCAAAGGGGTTTGGGCACTGTGGCCATCCCTGCCCAAGGATCCAAAAGAAGGGGTTTGCAATTGGAGACTTCCAGAGACACACAGCAGTCGAGAGAGCTTTTCTTAGGGTACAGCAGGACTTCCTTTCATTGTTCCCACTGCCTCCCAGAAAAAGCCCCACCACTGCTGAGGCTTAGAAAGAGAAGCCCAGGGAGCAGAGTCCATGAAGAGAAGGACCGAGGCTATTTCCAGTGAGCCAGCCATAGGGCTGTGAGGCACAGCCCACCAGAACCCAAGAGGCACAGACCAATGGAGAAGAGTCTTTTTTTTTTTTTTTAAACTGTGCTTTATTTAGGGCTAAGCTGGAGAAAGCGTCATCCAATAGTTACAGAAGGTTACAAGGAGTTTTAGGGAGTTGAGTGTGAAAGAGCAGTTGTACTGAACTGCA